CGCTGATGGCAATGGTGGGGGTAGAAAGACGATTAGAGTGAGAGGCAGGAATAATAAGATCGTTCTTTCTCTGTTTACTGAAGCCTGATTGGTTGTTGGACTACTGTTGGATTAACAACAACCAATCAGGCTTCAGTAAACAGAGAAAGAACGATCTTATTATTCCTGCCTCTCACTCTAATCGTCTTTCTACCCCCACCATTGCCATCAGCGGTCCATTCTAAATGTTGATGGTGTATACACGACCTTCCGCAGTCCGTTGGTCCCGTGTCCGCTCTATCTAATCTTGTTTGGTTCGTGGTTCCATGCAGTTTTATGCACTGGATTTAGATGGATTAATTGTATATTGTAAGTAACCAGCTGCAATTCAAACGTCGCGATCGCAATTGCGATCATCTGCGGTTTGTAATTCAGTTGTACTTACTTGAAGTTATACATGGAAGTACGCAAGTGATCTTTTATCGTTGTTAAATTTCATGTCACATGTGAAACATGTCGCGACATCGAGACGTTCGTTCTATGAATTACTCTGATGGTAAGTAACTACACATGCGTTGTGAATTGGTTTATCTTGCCAAGATTTTTTTTATCCTTACGAAGGAATTTAAACTGTAATCTTTCAAAATAACACATTTCGATTATTATATTTCAAGATAACACATTTCGATTATATATTAACAATCCTCCTTTTTTGTTATTATACTGTTTATAAAAATACTTATGGAGTATAGCAATGTAACCTTTAGTCTTGCTTTTAACTTTAATTAAATGTTTCTGTTTACTGATGCGTTGCAAAAATAAAAATACATTAATTTTTTTATAGAGTATGATGGCTATGATGATGTTTATGGACATTCAATGGAGGACGATTATTGTGTATCACCTAGTGGTATGTTTTACAAATTTTTCTATGATTTCTAATGAAGTATAATCATTTATTAATTGTAAATATATGTTATATACATAGTGGAGCAATTTTTATTTGATCGAAGCAAACAACAAAATATTGCTTCATTCATCACAGAACCTGACATAGTGGAAGACAATGAAGATATTGATGAGTCTTCACTATCATCCAATGAAAAAAAATTCAATCTTTCTGAATTGGAAAAGGCAAAATTAATATCTTGTTTGGAAACAATTAGAAACGTTATAGGTGACACAGTATCTGATTCTAAATTGAAAGAAAAAATTATTCTGTCAAATTTTGATGCAAATATAGCACTTGATGCTATTTTAAAGGAATCTTCGCCAAAAAAAGTTACTGGTATGATTATTCTGTCATAATGGATATTAAAACTAAAATATTAGAGTATATAGAGTAATAATATTGAACTAAAAAAAATCTTGAAATACATTTACAGATTCTATGGAGAATAAGAAACAATTGGAGCGACATCCAGGTATATATTGCATAAGATCTTGTTTTATATGTCTCTAATATTATATTGAAGCATTGTGTTAAATTTGGAACTACTAATGACCTTGCTTTTGTATCTTTTTTTTTCATGTTCTTTGTATTGGACTTCATCGGTAAGGTAAGGTGTTTCAGTTGATAAATCTAATACATACATGCTCACAATACCTAGATTTTCTTTTAAAAAAGAACATAGTTTATCTAAAGATTCCACTTGGACTGTATGTCAACCAAATAATATAGATAGTTCAAAAGATGTAAATAATTCCTTTAAAGCTTTCTCATCATTAGCTGGAATTGTTTCCCATCACACAGAATCTATAAATTCAAATGTAACAAAAATATCTTCACAAAATAACACAAATGCACAACCTTTCAGTTCTTTAGCTGCTTTAACTACAGACTATTTACAAAAATCTAATGCAGCTAATAATGTAGAATCTCGAGATAGATATCAATTACCAGTCTCACAATTTATCATTCCAAAACTATCAATTAAGAAAAATGATAGCGAAGAAACGAGAAATGTACATTTACCAAAATTTCACAACAATGAAAATAATAAAAGACAGCTAGTATCTACAAATATTTTGGACAAAGATGAAATCGATTCACTTCAAAATGATTTTTCAAATATGGACATCTTTTTAAAAAGAAATACTGTGACAGATAAATCAAAAAAACTACTTGTAAATCCAATAAATATTGTAAATGAAAATTGCACTCCATTATCTGACGATTGGGTAGATTTGAGTGCTGCTTTAAAGGAAGCAGAATTTCTAACTGATAACGCTTTTTGCAGTGTCAATTTGACTACTTCGACAAAATTATACGATATGCATAATTTAGAGATATCCCTTGAAGATAACGATAGAATAACATCAAATGTGTTACCTGTTACTTTAAATTTATGCGCTTTGAGATCTATTGAATTTCCATATTCAAAAAAGAACGTTTCGGTATTTGGAAAAACTTTATGTAAAAAGTGGAAGAGAAAGCGACCGGTTCTTAAAACCATTGTACATTATAACACAGTTAAACCTTTTGACTTTTCTACTCCGTATCAAAATTCAAATCGATCTTAAAAGATATATCTAAGAATAAATAAATAAAACAGGTTACTAAATATGTAATGTGCATATTTAGAGTGTCAAAAGTTTTATGAAAAATATAAAAAAGATTTATAACAAGAATAATATTTTAATTGTATATTTCTATCTCTTTAGTATCATTTGACTATTTTTTATTATTTTATATTTATAATAGAGAAATTTGAGAAAGATATCGACATATTTTTAAACGCACGCATACATGCGCGCGTACACACACACATACACAAAATTATTGCAAAATAATATACACAATTAGCATTATATTTGTATTATGCTACAGTAATTGTATGTATATAGTACTTTTACATTTATATATAACTTTTGTAATTTTATATTAGTAATATACGTGCAGATGATTATATTTTATCTTTCTTCTGATGCAACTTAACATAGCTTCAACTTAGCATAGTTAAGAATTAATTTCATGATAGGTAGCAAATTATCATCAAAACCTACGTTGCAAGTTACAACACCATCTACTGTAAAGGTCGTACCGACCGGGACAAAACCTATTGTGAAAGGTTTTGATTTAAGTGGTATAGAAAACACAGATTTGTTGAGCCCACGTTGTGGAAGTCCGTCTTCCAATCGGAATAGTCCTGAGGTTAAACGCAAGGAAGATATCATACAAAAGGAGAAAAGAATAGTTTCGTCAAAAATGAATAGTCCAAGATGTCAATCACCAATATTGGGTCATGTAATACCGGAATTAGATACCAAGGTAAAATCTAATGCATCTAATGAAGAAAAAGTGGATGTCGAAGCGATATACAACAGTAAAAGAGGCGACAGCAAGGAACAGCTTCACTTGGTAGTCGTGGGACATGTTGATGCTGGAAAAAGCACATTACTTGGGCGATTACTCTGCGATTTGGGTCAAGTACCACAGAGACTTATCCATAAATATCAACAAGAGAGCAAAAAAATAGGAAAACAATCATTTGCCTATGCTTGGGTACTCGACGAAACTGGCGAAGAAAGGTGATTTGTAACTTATTAGGGATCCCTGGTGAAAAAAATTTGTTAGTTTGTCTGAAAAAAATAAAAAATGACAAATTCTGGCAAACAAAGACAGTATTGTCGAAATTTGATGGAAAATATCTTATTTTATCTATAATTGTCCGAATTTATACATTTTGACAATTTTCGGAGAAATTTAGGACGAATTCGAACAAATTTTTTTACAAGGGATATACCGGATATCCGAAAAATATCTGATATTTGGTATTATCCGGACTTTTTTACTATCTGACCATATGATCGGATATCATTAGTATCCAGGAATATATGTCCAGTTGAAATTTTATATCATTAAATGCTCATTTTTTATTATATAAATATTCTATAAATAAGTATGCATACTCATAATGCTATAATATCTTATATATTACTGCAAAATTAGTTATAATTTTTTCCTCCACAGTTATCATTGATACTCTTTTTCGCTCTTTTTCATTTAGCCTTTTTTTTTAAAAGACATTGTCCCGGAATCCGGTCGATCGAATATCCGGAAAATATCGGATATTCGACTCGAAAAATTGTCTTTCCGGATATCCGATGTCACATTTTTTCCTGATATCCGATATCCGGTAATTTTACGATCCGATGCATCCCTACTTATTATATTAAAGAATCAGTGCAGAAGAATATATCAATTAATAATACATCTTTAACAGAGAACGGGGAATAACAATGGATATAGGCCACTCGAAGTTCGAAACGGACACGAAATCTATTACTCTGCTAGATGCACCTGGCCATAAGGATTTTATTCCGAATATGATAACCGGTGCTACGCAAGCAGATGTAGCTTTGTTAGTAGTCGATGCAACCAGAGGCGAGTTTGAAACTGGATTTGATAGTGGAGGACAAACACGTGAACATGCTCTGTTACTACGCTCTTTAGGTCATTTTCCCTAAGTTTTGTAAAAAATTTTAATTATTAAAAAAGAATATATTTTTAGCATCAATTTTTTGTATTTACAATTCTGAATTTTTATTGAAAATTTAGGAGTATTGCAACTAGCAGTAGTTGTTAACAAACTGGATACCGTAAATTGGTCTAAAGATAGATTCAATGAGATAGTGGACAAAATGAGTGTGTTCCTAAAGCAAGCTGGCTTCAAAGATACTGTCACTTTTGTACCTTGCAGCGGTTTATCTGGAGAGAATATTGTAACAAAACCAAAGGAGCAACTCTCTAATTGGTAACATCTCAATGGTTTGCATACATGCTTTTATCTATTTCTTATGAAATAATTTCACAATAATTTCAGGTATACTGGACCTACTCTAGTTAACGTTATCAATAATTTCAAGTGCCCAGAACGGCCTATAAATAAATCATTTCGTTTTTCGGTGAACGATATATTTAAGGGTACTGGATCTGGATTCTGTGTGTCTGGTCATGTTGAAACGGGTATGGTATCCTTGGGTGACAAGGTTTTGGTATTACCTCAAAACGAGATTGCAGTTGTTAAAGGTAAGCTTTTATTAGGCTTTAACAATAGTGGACCATCATGTAAAGATTACATTATACGCCTTTATCTTAGGTCTTCAGTCGGATGAAGTTTCAACAGCAAATGCGTTTGCTGGTGATCACGTTGCACTGACATTGGCGGGAATCGAGCAGCAAAATGTGGATATCGGCGATATTATCTGTAACCCGCAGAATCCAGTACCCGTAACGACCTGCTTTCAAGCGCACGTTGTTATATTCGCGATAGCAAAACCAATCACAAAAGGGCTTCCAGTAGTGATGCACCAACAATCATTGGTACAACCGGCGGTTATCATGAAATTAATAGTGCAACTTCATCGAAGTACTGGTAACGTGATCAAGAAGAAGCCGCGTTGCTTACCTAAGAATTCTAGTGCGATCATCGAGGTCGCAACGCAGACACCAGTTTGCATGGAGTTATATAAGGATATTAAACAGCTAGGTAGAATTATGTTACGATTAGAAGGTACTACCATTGCTGCTGGTTTAATTACAAAGATTTTATAAATCTGATATAAATGAAGTCTCGAATATCGCAATGCAATTTATATACACATTAGAAAAATTTTACTTAAATCTAATATGTGTTGTATTTGTGCACGTGTGTGTGTGTGTGTGTGTGTGTGTGTGTGTGTGCGCGCGCGTGCGCGTACGTGCGTGCGTGTGTGCATGTGTGTGTGTGTGTGTGCGCGTGCGCATGGCTGTCGGTATGTATTTATACATCACACAAAATGATATATGCAAACTTTATAGGTTGTTGTTATGTACAATAGTATACAGAACTTTACTGAATAATTTAAGATTTTTTATATATCCTATAGTATATTTATAATTGTTCATAAGCCATAGTATATGGGCGGTTGAAGCTGCGTTTCCAATATTTACTATTAGTGCTGAAAATCTACAGCATACATTACGTTCATTGTCAATTTTTAGGCATTGCATATTGGAACATAGCATAAGTTACACTATTTAATTGCAAATGATAGACGTAGTCACGGATGTGCATGATTTAATAATTACTGAATAGCAATGTTATTAATAGCGTTTCATCGTTGGAATCCATATTGTAAATAAATTTGTAGTATTAGAAATTTATGTACATGCACTACTCGATGATGTTATTCAGTATAGCTAATGAATATTATGCACATTGAAGACAGTGGAAATATGTAAGGTGAGTTATTGCGCATAATGGCGGTAGCAATACTGGAAATAACCAATCAAATATGTTCCAACATATACTTCCTGATGTATATACATAATAGTACTGGTTATACTGGAATAACCAATCAAATTCATTCTCCTACTGCGCATCCATGGGAATAGCTCACGTATTTCCATCATGCACTGAAGGTATATCTTATCATGTAGGCCTCGTTCCACCAATGCAAAATTAATCTTACATTGGTGAAACTGGATTTTAGTAACGCGACTAAGTTTTCATGTGTGTGTGTATAATGGCTCTATATCTTGGACAAGTGTAAAATTAATTTGGCATATCTAATAAAGATCTATGGTTACATTATTTTTATTAATATAATTTATATTAATTATTTTCTACATTATTATGTTACTGATTAAAGATTTTGTGTGGTATTATATATCATTAAAAAAATAATGCCAGGTTAGGCCTTGTGATAAGGTTTTATTGAGGTTTATACATTATTCCACTTGGCTTAGTGCAGAATCTTCAGATATATATATATATCTATAATATTATATATATGACGTTTATGAAACTAAACTTTATAAAAGTTTCAAAAATTCTTTTAATAAGAGTTATAATATTTTCAATACATTAAATATGTTAACATGCTACTTTTTAATAACAAATACTGAATAAATGATACAAATATTATTATATACCTCTCAGTCATGACCAAACTAATGAATTTTTCTTATAATAAAGTAAATATAACAAAATATTTTTTATTTTAATTTTTTCATCTTGCGCAACTGCTACAACCTCCAAAAAATGGAATGTCAACATTGTTTCCAGTGTTTGGTCTACCAAATCTACGCGTTGGAGGACGTGGTCTATATATAGTGAATTGTGAAAGTTATTATCTTATATATTTATCTCATTTAATATAAATGTCTGAAGAAATTATCATACCCAGAACCTGGACGATAATCTCTTGAATATTGACTTCCTGATCTATTCATGCCAGGATTAACCAATGTCTGAAAACTAAATATTTCCAATATTATGCATATAAAGAAGAAAGAACAATGTAGTTAATTAATCAAAAAGTTATGATTTATAGCATTGTATGATTAATATATAGTAGATTATAGCTCTTACAACATGATAATCATATAAATTACTCCTGTAAAGAATCCGAAAATTCTTCTTAATCCCCATGGAGCAGATTTTACCACATTACCATCTATAAGCAAATTACTATGTACGTATATATATACAAATTCCATTATTTTTGATACATAAAAAATTAGATCACAGTATATTACCGTCCGTTACATAAACCATACTCGAAGCAGTACGCTTGTCAGCAAAGATTGATTCAAATACAAAATTTATTTTCAATTCTTTGATTCTTTTTTACGTACAATTTTATACACGATTTTATTATACGTAACTATAGACTTTATCAGATCTTTACATACGTTCACATATAATATAGACTGACAGACTACCAATGACTGGCAATCAAACAGACCAACAAGACTATTGGATGTTAAGCCCATGGTGTAATAAAGAAGAGATGTGTTGTTGCGCAAGAAGATGATTACCAATGAGGATGGTGGAACAAGTGTCCGACCATATTAATATATCAGCCAATCAGCGTTTTTTCTGAGATATTCTGAGAAATGTGATATAATTTAAATAAGAAAATGACAATTAATGACTTTATTTTGTTGAGCACTACTATTGTGACTTTTTATTATTAATTATTATTAATAATAATTTAATAATAATTATTATAA